ACTGCCATCCTTACCTGGTCTGGCCTATGTGTGACTCCAGAACCACAGCAATGTGGTTGACTCTTAACTGCTCTCCAAAATGGTCTAGCATGCCACTCAGTTGTAAGCCTCACCAGAAAGTCAGCCAGCCAGTGATTTCTACATCTCAGGCATGATTTTTTTGTTTTAAAAGGTTTGTAAAATTTATTGAATATAATTTTGTGCCTCTTGTACAATTCTATGATTAATATAAAAAAAAATCTTAAGTAGAGTTGAAGTGTTCAAAAATATAGTAATTGATTCCAGGGATGAGGAACTTCAGCTGCTTGGTAGATAAGAGCACCTGGAGTTGTTCTTCGTAGAGTAGGTTGAGAGGAGATTTGTTAAACATATTCAAAACTGTGTGAGGTCTAGACATTGATCAGAGAGAGGAACAGTTCCATTTCACCAAAAGGTTGAAAAGCAAATGATATAGGTTTAATGTGCTTGCTAAAAGAAGCAATAGCAGCAAAGCAAAAACATTTACCGCATGAGAGGTTCTTTTCTAGAAGTCACCACTTAGGAATGTGATGTAGATGGATATGATCAGGGCTTCCAAAAGCAGGCTTGTAGTAGCACCTAAACAGAGAGAATTGTAGAAAGAGAAAGGGCAAGGGGAGTGGAATTAGCTGATTTGTCTCACAGTAAGTTGTCACCAACATGACAGGCTGAATGGCCTCCTTCCTACTATAATCATGTTGTTATTCTATGAATCTCTAGCTTTTCATAAGAAGTTACTCGTAATTTCAGTTATATTCTTGTGTCTAACTTACTGAAATCAGTAAGAGGTCTTGTATGTTATTTTATTGTTCAGGCCAGAAAGATTCCAGGCTAAAACTTCAGCCTTCATTTCAGTGAAGTAATGTAGTTGGTATGAGTATTCATTGGCTATAAAATAGAAGTGGTATTGGTTCCTGTTCTTTTTCCTTGTTACTGTTCAATAATTTCTCCTGAAGAACATATGTATGTGAATATTAGTTCAGAACAGGATTGAGTTCATCAGTGATTCCCTCCCTCACCACAGTAACATGGCCTGCTAATTCTCACAATCTAAGGTTGCATGGCAAGAAGTAGCACTTGACCAAGATTGATTTATGCACTTATTCCATAATTCTTGTTACTCCTGTTGTAGTACTGTGATACCTATAGTTATTTTCCATGTTAACAATGTGTCACAGTCTGTGGCAAAATCTGTTATGCTCTGTGAATGGCTAGTTTCAGTGTTCTCATGTTGCTAAAAGCTTTGATGAAAATCATTCTTAATGGCATTTATAACATGGAAAATATCATTGTCTTGTTTATGTAAATTTGTTTTCTGATTGTTTCCTTTATTTAAGTGGTATTTGCGTTGACCACCCAAAGCTTTTTGAGCTTCACAACTAGTTGGTTGTTCAACATCTCTCTAACTGTGCTTTACTACTGTTTTATTAGGATAAAATATGTAGTATTGGGCAACTCAGAACATGTGTTTAAAAGATATGATGGTTCACAGTATCATGAATCAGATATGAATCATATTTCAATAAATTGTATATAGATAATTGAGTTGACAATCTTTCTATTATTGTATCCTTTAGCATGTTGTTTCACTTGTTTACAGAATTTACTACAGTTTACTAAACAATATTGGAAGATGAATCGGCGCCCTCTCTTCCTTGTGCTTATCCGTGAAGATAACATAAAGTAGGGGATAATTCTGTTATGAATAGTTTTCCTCATAATTTCTTTTCCAAATATTAAATCATAGAAGAGATATAAATTTATCATTTTTTTGTTACTTAGAGGGAGTCGTCTCAATCCTATGTTGGACATGTTGGCAGCATTCAAAAATGGTATTATTGGAGGAGTGAAAGTTCATGTTGACAGACTTCAGGTACGTTTGTACAAATTTGTATCTTTTATTGGCTGTGTATGGCATTAGCTAAGTGAATAAAAAAATCTGTGATTAATCCAAATGCCATATGAATTACTAGCCTGATTGGTGATTTTTTTGGCTGAACTTTGTAATATCTAAGAGCAGAAATCAACACAGCAAAGTGACATAAGATTGAGTCAGCCACCTAATTCTGTTCATATAGTGATCTAATTATTAATGCCTGCATGTTGCTTCTTTGGTTTGAAAGATGATTTACATGTTTTATTTCATTTATTGTGAAAACTGTGTCAACATAATATTCCAGTTATGCGATGTAGATGATTACTCGTGCAGAAGGAAATGCAACAAGAAATTATCTTCTTTCAATTGGGATTTTTTTCCATATTAATGTGAAAAATAGTGAGAAGTTCTCAAACTAGTTAATTAAAATGGTAATGTTTAATGCAAGAATTTGTCAGAAGTTGTTCATGATTGGGTTAACGTCATGATTTCAAGTTCTGAATGTGACAGGTTAGCTTCTGAAGTGTTTTGATGGTGGTGAATCGGCTTATTTGATTTTGGACTGGAGGAAAGTTTACAGTGGTGTTTACTAGAGGTCTGTAGTGCGTTTCTTAATGTATATTAATGACTACGACTTGACAGAGTATCATTTCAAAATTGTGAATTACATAAAATTTGGAAGTGGAATGAACTGTGAGGAAGATAGTGATGGACTTCAAGAGGACAAATTGGTGAAATGGCTGGGCATTAAGGCAAGTGCAAAGTAATATAGTATGGTAGGAAAAATGAGGAGAGGTAATATAAATTAAAGACTACAATTCTGATGGAAGCAAAGACACCCTGGAAGTACATGTGCACAAATCATTTAAGATAGTAGGACAAGTTGAGAAAGTGGTCAATAAAGCATACAAGGTCATTGGCTTCATAAATAAGACACATAGAGTACAGAAAGCATGGAACACTACTTTTATTGCAACAGTCTTTAAGACCCTGGGTATACAACTGCAACGGATGTTTCACATTTTTAGGAAGGAGGTAAAGACTTTAGTGACACTTCAGAAAAGATTTATGAAAATGGTTTCAAGGATGAGAGACTTTAATTAAGTGAATAGATTAGCGAAGCTGAGCTTGTTCTTGGAAAGGAGAAAATTGAAAGAAGGCTTAATATAGAGGTTCAGAATCATGGGCGATCTTGGCAGACTTGATCGAAAGAAACTTTTCCCATTGGCAGAAGACTTGAGAATGAGAGGACAATGTCTAAAAACAATTAGCAAAAGAACTACAGCGACATGAGGGAAATTGATTTTTGCAGCAAGAGGTTAGGATCTGGAATACACTGGCTGAGAATATGGTGGTAGGGGATTCAGTCATGGTGCTTAAAGGGGAATTGGATAAGCACCCAAAACAAAATATTTGCAAGACTACAGGGAAATGTTAAAGGGATAGGATAGCTAAAATGATCTTGCAGAGAGTTAGTACTAACAGAGAGTTGGTACTAACTCAGTGGGTCAAATATCCTCCCTCTGTGCTGTAACAATTCTATGATTCTAATCAATGAGTTTTTGAATAGTGAATGGGTTAAGATGCTCACATTTTACTTTTCAAGGCAATCAGCTACTTCCACGTAACATGTTTGGGGCTGTTGGCCAGTTTATATACATTGATAAAATGAGGGCATTTCTGGCTAGACAAGCATTTGTTCCCCATTTTTATTAGCCATGAGAAGGTGGTGCTAAACCACCTTCTTTTGCACTCCTTGTCATGTGAGTCACTGTATTTCTTCCAGTGACAGTGAAGGACCGGTGATACTGTTCCAAGTCATGATATTGTAGCCTGAAAGGAAATTTTGCAGGACTAGAATTAGGCTGGAAGTAATACTAGCTTTGCTTTGCTATTTGGTGAATAGAAGCATTGAAAATCTCAAGATGAGATGGGGCATTGATACTTTTCGATCACCTTCCATAATAGTTAAATGTTTCATTTCAGTAACAACTTCATTTATATAGCACCTCTTTGACTGTAGCTATCCAAGGCATTTCACAGAAGTATTGCAAAAATAAGTTTGACACTAAGCCACGGGAAGTATTAGAGCAACTGAGATATGCTTTAAGGAACAGGAGGCTAAGAGGTACTTCGGCAGCTGAATATATGGCAATTAAAATTAAGGTGTTCAAAAGGCCAGAATTGGTAGAGCACAGAAACCCAATTAGAAGGATTCTAACATGAAATTACAGGAAAGGTGGGTGCAATATTGAAAAGAAACAGGGGTCAAATATAGTAAATTGATGGGGAATGATGAAGTGAAAAGAGGAACCAATAACAATAGCAGCTGACATGTAGGCCAGGAAAAGAGGTTACATGGTAAGCAGTTTATTAGGAGAAAAGCCAAGGGACCAAGAAGACAAGATTCATGGACAAGATGAATTTGAAGACTAAGTTATAAGATGGGAAAAGAACTGGAGCAAGTTATGATTTCATGACTAGGGCAGGGAGTAACCTTATAGGAAACTTAGCCTGATGGATGAAGGGAAAGGAAGAAAACAGCATTGCAACTGAATGAATTGTTTCAACCTTCCTGCCAAAGTTCATAAGCTTGTCACATTTGTCGGAGATGAAGCTGGAGGAGAAAAGAGAGAGGGATTTAAGAATGCAATTCATAATGGAGAACAGAAGCAGTGGGTTGTCATTCCATTCCAGAATGATATTGAACAGTGAGCAGAACTTGATAAGGCTTAAAGTAGTCTAGCGAGCTACGGCAATAAATTGTAAAACTGATTATCAACCGTAGCTTCATTACTATAGTAAGGCAGATCCTTGTTGAGATGTTGGGATTGTTGCCTACCAGGAGAGCTGGCAAGAGATTTTCAGTGCCTCTTTGACTCCTGGATCAGCACGCATTCTCAATCAGGCATTTGTGAGGCCAATGTCAGGCCTTCCCTTGGAATCATGACCCGCAGGTGAAAGTGTTGCCTGCTGAGAGCTGCTGCCTAATCAGAGACTGGGAGCTCTTCCGGCCAGCGGTTCCACAGGGGAGGCCATGGCCACTCAGGCAGAACAGCTGCACAAATCAAACACTGAGTATCATCAGCCCCACCTCCCAGGCTGACCGCACAGTTTCAGCTGCTGTGCACACTGTATGGTGGCAGGCACTGTGATATACCAGTGGCAGGGTGAGGCCCTTCAGTTGTCTTTAATTGACTTCATAAGGGCCTCAATAGGTGGAAGGGCACAAAGGACCACCATTCTGCACTTAATTCTGGAAAGATGGGGAAGGTGCCAGGATTCAGGTTCATGACCATCCAACCTAATTACATACACAGACAGAGGTTGCTGGAAAATTTCAGCAGGTCTGGCAGCTGAAATAACACCATAGAAGCTGGTATCCCGTCACCAAGTCGTCCTATATTTACACGTGGAGAACCCTCGACACTCTTCCAGCTCCCTTAGAGCCAGCTCTCAGAGTAAACAGGATGTCTGACACTCCTGTTCTTTCTGTCAGCCAAGGCTCCCTGATTGGACCAAATTAACGGCCCCAATCAGGGAACTTATATTCTATGAGATCCACCTGAACTCGTTACAATCCACAGATGCCGCTGAGAAATCAGAGTTAATGTTTTGGTCCAGTGACCCTTCTTCAGAATGGCCTGAAGAAGGACCTGAAACAGTACTCTGATTTATCTCCACAAATGCTGCGAGATCTGCTGACTTCTTCCAGCAATTCCTATTTTTGTTTCTGATTTCCAGCATCCGTAGTTCTTTCAGTTTTTCAACCTAATTGCATACCCTCCCTGCTTCTAAACCCATCAACAGAGAGAGGTGAAAATTTCACCTGTAATGTTAGAAAAATGGCAACCAATTTGCATGCAGCAAGTTTATTCGGGAAGAGCCTATAATCTTCAAATTTTCCTAATTTTAACTTTCTGATATGCATAAATTTCCTATCACTACAATAATGAATTGTAATTTTTCAATCATATATCTCATCAGAAAAGGTCAATGTATAAACTAATAAACTACAGTGTTATTTTATCCAGCCGCAACGATCAAAGATTAAGCACTAAAGACAGTGGCCTAATGTAGTATAAAAAGCTGCGAAGTTACAATATATGAGTCGTCTCAATGTTTTTCATTGGCTTCAATATGACAGAAGCTATATTAACATAGAAATGACCATAAGTTTGTAAATGTGTCAATCTTTAATGTATAAGAATTTGTACTTCATTTGTTACTGCTGAATTTTAAGCTATTAATCGTCTGCACTGTTAAATGGATTGCTCAAGTTGTATGTATCAACTAATTTACAGAAAAATAAAAATTCTCATTGTGCATTTAATGCTACATTCTTTGTGTGATATGCCTTGATATGAATGAATATGTTTATTTTCATAACAAATAATAACAACATCATGCAAGCATAATGTTTGCCTTATAAAAACCATGAATGATATAGCAACATTTTCTTTCGTAAACAGCTCTTTTTGTTTCTGTTGCAGACATTAATATCTGGTGCAGTCGTTGAACAGCTTGACTTCCTACGGATAAGTGAAGAGGAGGAGTATGGCCCAACTTAAATCCTTTTATTAAAATAACATATTGTGTTTTTATTTGAAAATGTCTTTCCTTAACAGGATTTATTTGAGAAATCTGTTTTGCAGAATTCCACAGTTTGTAAGTTTTGAGGAGCTGGAATTTCCGAAACATTCAAAAGTAAAGCGGCAGTCAAGTGTAACAAATCCAATGGACAACAAGCAACAACCTGAGATAAATTTGCATGACTGGATGTTTGCCCCCACAATGGAAATTCTGGAAAAGCTGTCTGTATGGAAATAAATTATATCTAATACTGTACTAATATCTTTATTTTCAACCTTGTCTCATCAAAAATATATATTGTCCTCACATTGAAGTATATATACAATTTATATCCATGGAAAATATTGGGAATTCTGTGACATACTGAGGATAAAGCAAGTGGATATCACACCCCATCCCTTTAAGAGATCACTGTGCCCACTTTGTGCTGGTTCTCTATTTAATTATCATCATATTTCAAAAGCCACCTTATTTTTTTCACAACCGTAACCTATTGTTGTCAACGCTTCTTCATTCTTTTTACATTTTAAAACTGTTCATAGATTTTCCTTGCAAACGTAAAATTTATGACCAGGAGTAAGCCATTTGGACCCTTAAGCCTGTTCTTCTTTTCAGTAAGATAATGGCTGATCTGATTGTGGCCTCAACTTCAATTTCCTGTGCACCCCTGTACCCTTTGACTCCTTTGTCAATTAAGGATCTATCTAACTTAATCTTAAAGATACTCAATAACTTTGCCTCACTACTCTCCAGGAAGGAAGTTCCACAGATTCACAACCGTCTGGAAGAACAGCACCCCCACAAAGGAAAATCTCTCCTCAGGATCGTGTGTCTTTCATTAAAACCACCTCTTATTCTTCTAAACTCTGTGGACATAGATCCATCATGTCCAATCAGTTCTCATTAGATAACATTACTTCCCTCAATCCAGGGAATGAGTTGAGTCAAAGTTCGTTGAATTACTTTTTTACGCAGTTATTTCCTTTCTTAAATAATGAGACAAAAACTGTACACAGTACTCCAAATGTGGTCTGTCAAATGCTGTGTATAACTATACCAAAACATTCTGTCTTTCATGTTCCATTCCCCTTGCAATAAACAACAACATTCCATTTGTCTTCATATTCACTCTCTCAAGTTAGTTAACGCTTCTTTTTTCTGTCAAAGTGGACAAGTTCACATTATCCCTACAACAGCCAGATTTTTGCCTGTTTACTTAACCTATCTATATCCTTTCGCAGACGACTTATGTTCTCTTCGCAACTTACTTTCCCACATATCTTTGTGCCAACAGCAAATGTAGCAACTATGTACTCAGTTTCCTCATCAAGTCATCGATATGTAACTGGAAATCTGTGTACACTACATTTACTGGCTCCTTTTATTGGGTCTTAGCTTCACATCTTCAAAAAAACTGTACAAAATTTGTGAAACACAATTTCCCTTTCGCAAAAGCTTCAGAACATAAGCCATGTTAACTGCTTGATTATGATTTTCAAAAATGCTGCTCCCATTTCCTTAAAAGTGCATTCCAGTACTTTAAGATGATAAACTTAGGTTAGCTCGCTAGCCTGTAATTTCTTTTTTCTGTCTTCCCCTAGACCAGGTATGTCACGTTTGCAATTTTTTTCAAAGCATCGGAACCTATTTTTGGAAATTTTGGAAGATTGCAGCCAATGCAGCCAGTTCTTTCCAGATTCAAAGATGTAGAACTAGGAAATTCATTCACCTTTAATCCTATTAGTTTGCCTTATAAGAGACAACAAGGTGTAGAGCTGGATGAACACAGCAGGCCAAGCAGCATCATAGGAGCAGAAAGGCTGACATTTTGGGCCTAGACCCTTCATCAGAAG